GTTCGACTATGTTATGACCCGAAAGTCTGGCCACATGAGACCCTCCTGAACGATTTTTTTTTTACTTTTGTTTAGATTCAACACAAAATGTTTCAAATTTTAACAGTGTTTCCCTTCTGAACATTTGTTTACTTTGCATTCTATCCACACTGTAGAAATGGCCTTCCCTAGCTTTGGAACTACATAGATAGGCACATAGTTGGTGGCGACGGCCATTTAAATTGGTTACTCTTAACCGTCTATTAAGATTGGTTGTTTTATAATGCGCACACAGTGTTTGTAGCATCACGTCTCGAGCCCAGGATCTTCAATCCATCGCACTCGGTTCTCACTACATAACTTAATTTAATTATTCATTCAGTTTCTTTCTTAAAGTCTTATGTCACCCTATTATGTTATTTTTCATCACATTCCTACCATGGTTTTCTTAATTTGTTTTTAAGTTATTTTTTATTTATTTCTTGTAATTTATTTTCTTAGAAAAATAGATGACAGACATGTTGAGCTACATTTTAAACAACAGTGTTAAAACCGTATCTGTATGTTTGATATAACATTAACCGAGAAGGACTTTTTTAATAACGTGTATATGTTACCGTCCAGGCATGGCCTGGTGGTTAGGGCGCTCTACTAGCAATCTTAGGGCCGCGGGTTCGAATCTCCCTTTCAGCCGTGGGGGCGTTATAATGTAACGGTCAATCACACTATTCGGTGGTAAAAGAGTAGCCCAAGAGTTGGCGGTGGGTGGTGCTGACTAGCTTCTTTTCCTTTAGCCCCCGTGTAGCTCTGCGCGAAATTCAAAAACAAACAAACGTATATACGTGGTAACCACCACCGTCCCTATGGTTTATTATTTATATGATTTCATTTCACTGTCTGATCAAAAATGTCACTCAGTTTTGTTTATCTACTAATATGTAGCGTTGCCTATATAACTGTAAAGGTACAAGATAGGTAACACATACATTAATGGTTGAAGCCATCTGTTTTGAAACACAAGTTTTACACTTGTATACCTATACATCTAAGTAGTGTGCATGCGCACAAACAGAACATTGTTATTTTAAAATAAATATTAGTGAACTGTTTTTTTTAGGCTAAGTGTGTTACGTTGTGTGACGATTAATGCTTACATATTAAGATAACTTTTCGCCAGAATATTTTCCTTTTGAAAGAGAAAAAAATTATCCTATAAAATCTCAATTTCACTTTTACACAAACTATATGGTGGAAAATATGTTTAATTCTATAGTCAAAGCTCTTCGTAACAACAGTTCATCGTTTCTATGCCTGATGCAGGTTTTCTTTCATTCTAAGTCTTTGATTCACTAAATATACACGCATACTTAAATAACCAGATATATCGTGTAGGGCCCGGCATGGCCAGGTGGTTAGGGCGCTCGACTCGGAATCTGCGGGTTCGAATCCCCCGTCACACCAAATATGCTCGCTATTTCAGCCGTGGGGGCGTTATAATGTGACGGTCAATCACACTATTCGTTGGTAAAATAGTAGCTCAACAGTTGGCGGTGGGTGGTGATGACTAGCTGCCTTCCCTCTAGTCTTATAATGCTAAATTAGGGACGGCTAGTGCAGATAGCACTCGTGTTAGCTTTGCGCGAAATTCATAACAAACAAACAAATACATCGTGTATTGCCTCGTTTCTTATTATACGATATTATGTTACGACCACGTGATCTCCGATTTTGACTATTGTTGTAACAAAGTTCTATGAAGCAAAGTGAGGTAAACCTTACAAAACTTATCTTAACAAAACTATACTCAGACCATTGTTACGTATTGGAATTTCAAATAGTCTGAAATTGAGTTA